TGGCTAGGGGATCCTTCTTCAAGTGTCAAAGTTCACCATATCAAGTGGGTCATAGCCCCTGACAACCTTGGTTAGAGGAAAATAAATCCTCTTTGCCCCTTGCTAGACATTTTGTTCATCATGACCTGCATCACAGGCCCTCGAGATCCTTGAAATGGGTTAGGATGTATGCAATGGTATGATGTTATGGTATGCATGGGGTAATGTAAGTAACCCTGTTATGAGTCCCCATTAAGGACTGCAAACCAAAACCTGCAAGAAACTCAAGTAAAATCTGTCATGAGTCCCAATTAAGGACTATAAACAAAACCTGTAAGAAACTTGGTAAACCCTGTTATGAGTCTCAATTAAGGACTATAAACAAAAACCTGCGAGTAGTTCATGTGTCAGATAACAAGCATGCAAATAGTCAAGTACGAAGGCACGCAAGTCACACAAGAGAAGCCCTTAGAGTTTAGGCCAGCATGAGGTCTGGGTATTACCCTCTTGAAGTTGGTGGGTTCAACCTGTCCTATTAGAAGTAACCGGGTTCTAAGGGTCCCAATATCACGGGATTTCTTTCATTGTTCATCGTTTCGATTTAGCCACTAAACTGGCGACCGAAATATTCCAGGAAAGCAACCCTCAATTGAGTGTAGTATCGAGTATCAACCAACCTCGGACTGCACCAAAGTCAGTTATCTCACTACCCTAAAGAGGTCAAGATGGTTCAATTAAGGTTCCTAAGGTCTGTTGATGCTTCACGACACCACGCGGAGGCCCCGTACTCTCCTTGATTGAACTCAAGGGTTACCGGTACACACCAAAGTGCCACATCAACGTAGCAGACTGTTTCAACCATGTCGGTATACCCCGCACAGTTCCCTCACAGCCTTGTTGCTACTTTCTAAGAAGGTATCCCCAGATCTAGGTTAGGATCTATAGAATTCCCAAGACAGTCCCACAATTTAAAGCAGACAAGTCAATACAATTGAAAACACAGTTATGAACTAACCCTAAGGTACACCTCACTTTAAGTTTAATTCCCCAGCAGAGTCGCCAGTTCTGTGATCGGTGGATCTGGAACTGACTGTTTAACGCTGGTTCGCGAAATGTCGCGGAAGCAAGAGTCGCCACCGTCTTTTATTTTCTCCAAATGGAAAGGACAAAAGCACAGAAAAATTCCTTATAGAGATTACTCTCGGTTCGGGAGGTAGGTTATAGAAAGGGAAGGTGTTAGCACCCTTTCTATCCATGGTTATCCATGGGCTCTTAGATACTTGCTCATTGTGTTTTCAAAATTGGTTCGTTTGCTTTTAAATTGTGGGTTTTAAAAAGTTTCTTTGAAAATTCCAGTTCGACTCTTGTATCGGTCCTCAAGAGTGTTTGAAAAATTGCTTTCGAAAGCTTTTTGAAAATGTGTTGGTGTGAAAAGTATTTTTGAATTTGTTTTGAATTTAGAGCAAGTATCTAGAGTCGTCTACCTACCCTAAGGAATTCGTCTGTGTAAATGTCCTTTAAAGTAGTGTCATCCCACCATTGAGAGGTAGGTAGCACCACCGTTGGAGGTGTTCGGGTCAATTCGAGGTTCGGGGCATGGTGATCACCAGAGCAATAGGAAGATACCTTAGAAGCTACCCTCATGCCAGGTTCCCGGATCATGAGGACTTACTAAGACATCCTCTACTCGACGATCACCTTTCGAGGCAAGGCAACAGTGAGGCGTACCCTAGGGGTGGTGTGTGATTTGTGTGTCGTTTTCATTTATTTTGTCTTGTCATGTCATAGGTGATCTACGCATTTGTTTTTATTTTGTCATTCATTCTTGCATGCCATTATTAACAGTCAAAAAGTTGCGAGAAATATAAAATTCCTAAACTATTACAAAGGCGCGGGTACACATCGCCAAATTAAATCTAGGACCCGATTTGACAGAAAATAAAGAAATAAAGTGCGAGAAATATAAATTGTCCGAGTTACATGGCTTTGGGAGAATTACATTAATATTATACGAAATAAAATAAAATGCGCGAATTGAATTGAAATTGAAAGCGAGGGCGTTGGACCCTTTTTAATGAAATTAAATTATATTAACAAATTAATTAAATTAAAAGAAAAAAGAAATTGTTTTTGAGGTTTTTTGTATTTATGATTTTAATGAGAATTAAATGAAATTAAGAAATTAATTAATTAACCCTAATTCTACAATTTTGATTTATTAAGAAAAACATGTTAAAGTTAAACCTAAAATTAATTTAGCTATTTACATGATAATTTAATTACAAAAAATAATATTCAATAATTAATTATGGTGAAAAAGAGAAGAAAAAAAGAATAAAAGTAATTAAAACCTAATTCTACAAATTTTAAGGTTATTAGAAAAAATATTAAGATTTAAACCTAAATTTAACCTAATTAGTTAGTGAGATTTATTTACAAAAATATTAAAATAAAATATATTAGTTTTTGTCTTTTCTGATTTTTTGTTTTTTTTATATTTTTATGAAAATAATTAATTTAAGGAATATATAAAAAAAAATAATTGAAATAGATAAAAATAAGAAAGAAAAGAATTGTAAAACCTAGGGGGGTTCTGTCCCTAATTGGAGGTATGACTTAGCAATTCAGGCCCATTAAGCCTTGGCCTTATTGACTTTTTGGCCAGCGTGTAGGTGCGTTGACTCATGTCCATTATGTTCTTCAGATCATAGGCCTTTGATTGATCTTGATATGTGCGTGGCAAGCTGAGATTGTGGATGTATGATGCACCCAGGAATTGAAGCTGCATGGAATTATATTGGAAGAAAAAATATTGAGACAAAGAGGGGGACTTGGGAATCGAACCCAGGTCCCAGAGTTTACCAAGTGCTTCCTCCACCACTATGCCATTCACGCGCTTTGTACATAATACAATAAATAAATAATATAATGCAAAATAATGATCAGTGGTTAATTTTCGCGCAAAAATTCAAATGAGCCAATCTCCTGCTCACACCTCACCTTCTTCTTCCTTGTTGCATTTTTCCTGAAACAAAATAAACAAGATTGCGGTGGTTTTAAACCCCCACTATATGCAATGTGAAAAAGTAGCGATTAGAAATCCCTGCATCATAAATTAGGCGCGAGATATGTGTTCAGATCGTCCAAGCATGCTGATTTCAACCATGGTATTAAGGTGTTCTAATTTTACAGTATTCAGAAACGCCCAATTTGAAAGTTCTGCAACCCTAACCATCTTCCATGGTGGATTCTTCAATAGTGCACGAAAACTCAATCAAAGTATGCAGTTAGCTTTAGAATCAATCCATTAGCATGAATCCACAAAAAAATTGCAATGGAAATGCTTGAATATTGAAATACGAATATGAATAAAAAGTGAAAAATCTTGAATTCTGTATACCAATTCTGGGCGTGAGGGATGTGGAAAACTATTCAGGAAGCTTCCTTGACACTTTTGCAAGCTATTGGGATTTATCTTTGCCTCTGAATCGTCCTCTAAGGCCACTTTCAGTTTTGAACTTTTTTGATAAAATTGCAAGTTTGGTTCTTGAGATGGGGCGCAGCATTCATGTTATGAGCACTAGGGTTTGCATGTATATATATGTATGAGTGTTTTAGGTCAACAAAATAAGCCAAATATCCATGGAATCAATGCTTTTGATTTTGTGATTTTGCATAATCTTTTCAAATCTTTTTTCATGCAAATTTGATACAAATCATGTTCAATTGCCTTGATTCTTTCCAAATCTGATCATGCACGAAATATTGAGTGTATTTCATGCATAAAAATATTTAAAAACTTAGGTTTGGTATTTTTCATATATTTTAATTAATTAAATGAATTATTAGCAATTAAAAATTCAAATAAATAAATAAAAATGATGAATAACTTCCCTTTGGGCCAAATGGTCGTGCACATGCTTTGGATGATGATTCTTGGAAGAAAATGTGGCCCATTAGCATTTTTAAGACATTTGAAGCAAAGTTGACTTTTTCAAAATACCCAAAAATTTCCCAACTTTCACAAGGCATATCTTGCTCAATTTTTAATCTTTGATCATGTTCTTGGACATTTTGGAAATATCTTGAAGTCCTCTAACCAATGTCTTTGGTCCCATGTCATTTTGATTTACCAATCTCAAGTTATGGTCTTTGACTTAAAGTCCCTTTTTGTTGACTTTTGAAAATGACCTATAATGTTGAAATTGATAACTTTTTATGAGAGCATTTCTTGGACTTGAAGTGTGAAGAGGAGTTGTAGGAAATGTCATTCCCTTCAAAATGAGCTTTGGATGGAATTTTTCTGATAATCCATGTGGAAGTTATGCCTTGGTCAAGTTACAGTTGACTTTTTCAACTGTCCAAAAATAGAAACTTTTGCATCTTGAGACTTTTTGAGCCAAGCTTTGAGAATCATGATCAAGCATTGATCAAATGATGTTTGTGGCTTCAAAATGAGATGTTGACCAAAAATTTGAACTTTTGACTGTCAAATGACCATTTTGCCCCCACAGTTGACTGTAGTGCAATTAGGGTTTTTGACTGTGCAATTTTATGCTGTAAGTCTTGAAACTTGGTATGAGGATGCTTGACAATGTTTGTAGGAATGTGGGACTTGATTGGACCCTTGGAAACTTCATTTTCTTTGTCAGAACCAAAACCCTAATTTTTTACTGTTAGGAGGCCCTTGCACTGTGCAACCCTTGGGGAGATTTTGAAGCTTTGACTTGGCAAATTTTGAAGAATATGGGAGGGAAAATTTTGGGGTACAACAGACGCGTAGAACATTTTGAATTACAAGACTTGAATGTAAACAAATGGAACCAATATGATGAATTGAAACAAGTTTATTATCAGGTAGTTTAACAGAAGTAGATACTTTAATGTATGACTGAAAAAGGGAAAGGTTTGAAACCATGTGGTGAGTGGCGCCAGAATCTAATATCCATACGGATGTACAAGATTTAATAGAAGAAAAACAGCGGAGTGAGGTACTTGTGAAATTTGCAAGAGGTCGATCACTACCATTTTGAAAGAGAGAGAGAGAGTAGCTGTTGAATCTGAATTGGAGTTAAGCTCGATGAAGACTGAGAATCCCGAGTTGGAACAATAACAACAATAGAATGAGTCGGTGATGCAGAGGGTCCGGTTCCGCGACCATCACAAGAAGAGGAACCATGGCGGGATTTGTTGGAGCCAAAATTATGTTTCCACCAAGAAGAATAACCAATCTTTGAGTAGCAACGATTGTCCAAATGTCCATCAACCTTGCAAATGGAACAATAATAATTGGGTTTGGAATTGGTCCCTTTTGAGGAATTTGATTGTTGAACAGCCATGGCGAATTGATCTATTGACACTGAACATGAATCAGATAACGAACGTTGACGCTCTTCTTGTAAGAAAAGTGAGTATGCTTTAGGAACTGAAAGAAGGAGATCCATGAGTAGTATTTGGCTACGAACAGATGTATATGAATCATTTAAACCTTGTAAAAAATCCATAAGATACTCAGTGGCATAAACCTCGTTGAAATTTGGTATAGCACCGCAAACACAAGAAGGAAGAGTTTGATAAGAATTAAGCTCATCTCTATAGGCTTTGAGTTCAGTATAATAAGTGGCAATATATTTGGTGCCTTTGAGAAAGATTTGCAATGGCGCGACGAATTTCAAAAATGTGTGGTGCATTTTTCTGAGTAAAACAAGTAAGAAGATCAAGTCATATATCTCGAGCACTATTAATCCATAGGAGGGAATTGGCTATGGTGGGAATAGTGGAATGCATAAGTCAAGATTGGACCATACTATTAGAACGGATCCAATGAGAGAAATTTGGATTGTTAGGTTCAGGTTTAAGAAGGATGTCATCAATAAAACCAAGTTTGTTTTTGGCTTCAAGTGTCATGGTAATGGCTCGGTTCCAAGTGGCATAGTTATCGCTATTAAGAGGTTGTTTGACAAGTATTTGGCCTAGTTGGTCTAATGAATGGAGATAATAAGGTGGAGAATCATCAAGGGAAGCCATTTGGATGGAAAAAAGCAACAAAGTTAGGCTGATATCATGTAAAGAAAGTGTGCAAAAAGTAATAGGATTCTCTATTGTATATATTGATGAATGAATATAGTATACAAGTATTAAAAGAAAAGGCTAAACTAAAATATAGGAAACTAAAATATAGGAAAGCTAAAGTAATTAACAGGAAGAACAAGTATTAGTAACAAATTATAACAATTTGTGAGATATTGTAGGCATAGTCGATAACATTATCCTCTATCATTCCAAACACATACAATGATCCTGAAACAGTTTTGTTGCTAGAAAAGTGATGCATCAATGTTTCATTTTAACACTGCATGATCTGGTTTTTTCCAGCAGAAAACATCTTTGTTGCGGCCTACATCTGGTTTTGTTGATTGTTGCCCTCCCAAAAGTACTATAAAGCCTTGAATCATTATAGCCCTTATAATAGTTGTGCAATAATTAATTCTGATTTACGAAAAGTTTATTTTATATAATATTTGAATTTATAAGTTTATTTTAATTAAGAAATAAGACTTCCTTATTTTTCAATTTTCATCATACATTTGTCTAATAGAATGAATAAATTCAGTGATTTACTCAAATATTACCAAATTGCACATACTACGTGAGTTCATTTTCCACAAACATGACTAGAAAAAATCATCTTGATTGGGCTTTGGTGAGGTTAACAAAGCCGTATAAAGGCGAAGCCTATCCTCTTCCAAAGAAGTGGACCTTGACAAAGGTCTACGAGGCCTAATAAAGGACAAAGAACTCAAAGTCAGTCTATGTCTATACCTTCTCCAAGCCAACTGAATTGCCACAGCAGCCCAAGTTCTCCAACCAGGTGAGTAATATCTTACACTCCTCCTAACATTTTCCTTTGCAAATGTGTACCTAAAATCAAATTTCTCCATAAAATTAGTCACTAACAACATCGGTCAATACTTTGTGCATGCTTGGAATTACAGTTGTTTGTCGTGATTCCAATCATACACAGTGCACCAATAATATGATTGAAAAAAATGTGTACCTAAAATGTTGTGTCACATATTTGACATCCTCGGCTTCAAGCCCAAATACCTCACATGTTTCAAGTGTAACCAAAGTAGATGATGATGTTGGAAGTCGTTGTATAAAAGGTCTTCTTAAACACCATGATAGAAGCTCATCTCCACTAAAATTTCCTGGCCCTAACATGCAACAACTTTTTACTCCATCTCTTAGGACTTGACTACTTTGAAGATGACCCCTTACTACAAATAGCATTCTTTGAACTGGCTCTCCTTCTCTTGTTAACTGTATGTAAACATAATTAACCATACAAAATTCACGGTTCTAGTTTTTTTTTTTTGGAATCTTGGTATCTAACCTTGCGACTCACTGATTCTCATTTCTAGTTAATTAATAAAGAGTTTAGTTTAGAGCTTACTGTTTCTCCCTTTGTGAATACAAGGGACTTGACACGGTCACAAATGTTCTCTAGCACCAATTCATCCATATGCTGAAACAGTGGCACCTTAACAAAATTTGTATTTCACTATGCTCATTTTCATCTCTAATATCCGAAATCAGGAACAAAAATGTGATCGAAATTGGACAATCTTATACCTGTCTCACCAAACCTAAACAAAGATGGTACTTGATGTCTCTTCTCAAACCCTCAGGAAGAATTTTGATCAACTGACATTCATCAACTCCACGCATCGCGGCCCAGCACTGTCTCTCGTAGTTGCGCACACGCTGCCTGAGCCCGTGTGGCAGCCGTCTTTTGCTCATCCACCATTCAATGTTTGTCATCTTCAGTTTCATCGCTTGCTTCTTCGATGTTGTAGCATGTAAAAACACCTACCATTCACCAACAACAAAAATCAAATTGTAATAAGTTACTTCTTAGATTTTATTTATCTTTCCACCGAACTCCAAAATAGAACTAATCTTCCTAAACAAAATGTTACGTATAAATTAATGTATGAATTATTTTTGTTTTACATGTGACCTCAATTTCTAAATTAAGTGCTTATAATTATGTACCTTGATGTTTCCAATTAGCATAGTGACTAAAAGGAGGCCACTAGTCAATACAATAATAATGAAAACGACTTCCATCCTTTCCGTTGTGCTCTGGAGGTTCCCAAAAGTGCTGGTCACATCAAAAAAGATTGTGAGAATCAAAACTTTTTTACTTAAAATTTGTGAATAAGATATATAGAGTGCATATGAAGCATCAAATATAACTTAATCAGAAAATAATAATACCTTAGAGTCATTAGGCCCCAAAAGATTGGGAGGAGTACCTTTTCCAAACGGCTATTATTTGTTACAAGTTGAACACTCCATTCATAAACTCCATAGTCATAGTTATCAGCACTAGCTAAACATGTAGACCTTGCTTCTCTGTTCTGTGCCCATATCAACCTTGTTCTCTCTAATTTCTTCAACATGCTACTGCTTCCGTAATATATAGGTTCCTTGCAACACAATGTTCTCAATCCACAACCTATTGTTGTACCACATTGCTCTTCCAGACACTTTGATGCCCTTTGAAGTCCCAACAAATACCAACATGCCCCTACTGCCTGTTTCACCAAATATATATCATCAGAGCGCGCAGATTACTATACAGAGCCCAAAATTTATCACATCCGTATCATAAAATATTTGTCACAATTACATCATGATTAAATCATGGTTAATAATATAATAGAATGCTTACATGAGAAGCAACAAAATAAGCTATCATGTTGAGAGCGAAACCCCACCAAACTGTTCCAAAAATGTAACCAGAGAGGTTGCGACGCACAAAGCATACTGAGTGGTAAATTTTAGGAAGGTATTGAAACACAAACATGATCAACAATACACTCATCACCCTCGTAATTGAACCTTCCTTTAACAGAGATGGAATTGTCACCCATAGCAAAATCTGATCAAAAAATTTAGTTTTGAAAATTCAGTATCCGACCTTATAATGGACTAGTTTGAAGACAAACCGCATCATCTAATAGCAAAACTCAACTAAAGTAAGATTAAAGTTTTGTATGAACTGACATAGTACATAAATTATTAGAAGAGTCCTTTGTCGATGCAAGACAGCCCTACCGCACAAATTTTAAAATATATCATGATTAACCTGTGATTAATTAAGGTCTCTCTTTATTTTGCCTAGGGTTAAACTGCAACTAACCTACACAAAGTCTATAGACATATGCGTGACTAATTTAAATTGGTAGTTGGATGATTTTCCCATACCAAAATGGTTGTTTACCTAAAGATTTTAGAGATCTACACAATGACATCACAACCTCAATTTGGATATTGATTTTAGAGATCTTTACAATGACATCACAACCTCAATTTGGATATTACAATTTTAGACGTTAAGTTATTAATAAGTACTCTCTCCATCTCATATCTCAATTTGAGACGGAGGGATTAATAAATAATTTACCTGAGGGAGAGGGAGAAGGACAAAAATGTCAAAGAAAAAACCCTTGCTAGCTTTGAAGTAACGAAGAGCATGTGAAGAATTACGAAGATGGTGATGATGATGAGTATTATGAATGAAGCCAAAAGAGGAGCGTTTCTGAATATAGAACTGTAACCAAATGTTCCAGAGATGTAACGCGTCCGTCATGCAACGGATAACGGTGACGGTAACGAGTAACCAACCGTCTACAAACAAACACATACACGTGTCACTTATTGATAGGGCGTAGAAAAATAGTGGGTCCACAAATAAACCCATCGCGCACACCAAAAGAAAGATTCTATTCCATTCTTCAACCCATTTTCCTGTCGGGTCAAGTAATACCCGAGTCAGTGAAAATGAAGAACCACCAAAAACAACATTGTTGTTGGTCTTGCTAGTTTTGATTTCACCTACTTCTTCCTCCTCTTCTTCGTCCTCGTACTCGTACTCGTCCTCGTCCGTGTTGCTGTTGTTGACAATCTCGTTGTCGATATCCTCGCTATCGTCGTCGGTGTTGTCGTAGTAGTAGTGCTGCATCTGCATGTTAGAACTAAAACGTGAATGGTGTTGGTTAGGGGCCATGGATAGAGGATGAAAGAGAACTTTGAATTTTTTGAAGTTGTTTTAGCTATTGAAGATGTTATGTAGAGAAGACAAAAATAGTGAGAATAATTGGAGTGGTAATGATGATTTATATCAAGGGAAATTGGGGTGCATGCAAATGTAAAGAGTAAGAGTGAGGTGGGAAGAGGGAAATTGATGGATGGTAGCTATAGGTTTTGGAATATAATGACGTTGCCCTGCTTCTACTCTCACTCCACTTATGTACACTATGGACTAATTTGGAATTAAGTTTAGAGGTTTCATATTTTTCACTTTTACACCTAACGTAACTTTTTTATACAAATATGTAAAAACAAAGTACACCTATTTTTTTAAAACATAATTAATTCAATTTACATGGTAAAATATGTTAATTCATATCAATGTATTTTGTGTCCTAAATAATATACATGTCATTTTATTGAAGCCATAACTAGTAATGTTGGCCAAAGGTGAAAGGTGGATTAAAAACGTGATTTTTTAGTTTTTTAAATATACACTAAATTATATTTTTGTTAATGGTTAACAAATGTTTTACTATGTATGAAAAGGAGTGGGTGTTCATAAAGGACTTTTCATTTTATTTTTATATATTTTTCTAGTCGTGCATCTAATGTAATCTTGGTTCAATAGTAAACCGTATTATTTTTAGTAAGTTTAAATAAAATGTTTTTTATTTTTTATTTTTTATTACTATAAAATTCAATTTTTACTTAATTTAATAAAGATTTATCTTTATATAGCATTCTTAAGATTCATATTTTATATATATATATATATATATATATATATATATATATATATATATATATATCCGGATCAGACTTGGACCGTCACGGCTGACTCGAACTGAACTTGAGTGAGATGGGGGTACCTGCAAGACACTCCGATGCTAAAATGAGAGACGAAACGAGCAGGCAAAAAGTGTATAGGCGTGTAATAGATGAATACCTGACCCTCTTGGAACAGAGGGTATTTATAGCCCCCAGCGCTGGGCCAAGGTTCCCTCATTGGGCTGACCAGAACTGACCCAATAAAGGAACTGCCAGGTTCTACGTGTATAGTGGGGCCCCGCAATTGTTCCCCTTCCTGGTGGTGCTTTACGAAGAATAAGGAGGGACGAAGACACGGTCTTTCCGGAGCTTAGAGGATTCTGTAACGGTCAGAGTGGACAGAATCTGCCCTACGGGGAGGGTGCTCGAGCTGGAATCGAGCTGGAGTTCCCTTGGTCGGAGACACTGCTTGTCGCGGGAAATGGCGGGCATAGCGACTGCAATCTGTGGTCGGGCACGTTCGATGATGGTCCGTTTGTGAGCATTCCCCGAGGAGTTGCTTGGATTGGGCCTTTATCTGCGCAGGAGTTATGACTTGACTTCAGCTCGCCTTTACCACAGGGATCTGATGCGCGGACCAGGGCTTCGTCTTTTGAAGCGTGCTCGAGGTATTTCTCGCGGGGATACACGGGTTACGTCTGTCGGGTACGTGGCGCGGTCCTTGGGAATTGTAGCGCCACCCTAGCAACTAGGGCCATCATTGCCTAGGGGAGTAGGTGTCGAGGACGGGGGGAGTTCGTGTTTCCCCGGTGCGACGTTTCAAATTCCACGTCATCCTTATAAATAGGACCCTTAGGCCCATAATTTGTTTTTCCTCTTCACGCTCCTCCCTCTTTCCCTGATTCCGCTGCCGTCGTTTTCCTGTAACACTGTGAGATCACCGCATCATTCGCCGTTGATTCCTTCCACCACCGTCATTCATACTTCTTTTCTTCCAAGTAAGTGTCTATTACTCCTGTTTTTCTTCGTTGTGCGTAGTTTTGATACTGTTTTTGATGTTAGAAATCCATATATGGGAGTAGTGCCCGGTAGATTCATGATTGTGCCCGGGATACTCATAGTTTAGGTACATAATTTGTGATACTGCCCGTGATATTCATAGTTTTAGGCATATGACTCATGATACTTCCCGTGATATTCATAGTTTTAGGCATATGACTCATGATACTGCCCGTGATATTCATGCGTTTGGTCGGCATACCCATGAACTGGCCAGGATGTTCATCCTTTTAGGAAGTATGTAGGGTAGCCTCCTCGCGGTATCCTAGTGTCGGGCAGGCGAAGTCAGGAACTTGCTTGAGTGATTCATGTTTCACCCGGGGCGTTCGTGCTACTCCTGTGCTGTCCTCGATGCGTGGTCGGAGCTGGGGTGTCCGTGTTCGGCTTGTTGTACACTTCTTCCCGCCTCTGTGGCGAGCACGCGGATTTGCTCTCGAATTCACCGGTTTCCTGTGCTTTGCAGGTAAATGGCCGACGATCCGGAATCTTTGAGGCAAAATGAAGTCGAGGACACAAGTACCGAAGATAACGTTACATTAGTCGACACCGTTGATGACCCCACGTTGGACTGGGTGGGCACCGAGCCCCTGGGGATTGCCTCGGCGTACTGTCGGCGTGCTTATACTGTCGTCGAGCATGGCGGCAGTCAGCCAGGTTTTCAAAAGAATTTTGTAGTAATGAGGCCATCGATTGATGCGCGTATTTTCTCGGAGTTTACTGAGTACGGGTTCCCTATGTACGAGATCGTGTTCAGGGATCTCGGTCTTAAGCTACCCTTCAACGACTTTCAAGTCGGGGTGTTCAGCCACCTGAGCCTGGCTCCTTCGCAGCTTCACCCCAACTCGATCGCCTTCCTTCGGGCGTTCGAGCTGACGTGCCGTTTTTTGAGAATCGGGGCGACGATTCCCCTTTTCTTCAGGGTCTTTCACCTGCAGCGTCAGTCTCGAGGAGGCAGGCACAACTGGGTATCCCTAAAACAGTCGAAGAGGTTGTTCAGGATGTATATGGATTCGGTAAGGGACTTTAAATATAAATGGTACGTGCTGCAGCCGGTCACCCAAACCGCCTTGGACTCCTTGTTCGAATCGGAAACCGTGGTGGTCGACGCGGACGGGGAGCCCCTCGTGGATGCTGAGGGTCGTCCGGCAGTCGGACGTATTTCCAAGTTCTCGATTCATTGGTGCTCGGGTCATTACGACCATGGCACCTGGTACTATCATACACCCGCGGGGAGCATGAGCGCTGAAGACGAGGAGGCCTATGATGTCCTTTGCAGGTTCGTTTATAGCTTCTTCCCTGCCCGGTGGGTCACGAGGGAGAGGGGTGATATTCTTGACGAGGACGGGTACCCGACATTCGAGGCTTGTCCCATCAACACCAAGGCGCCCGTCGAGTTCCAATCTTACGGGCAAGCCGTATATCTGCTAGGTTTCTCGCTTATGCTCTTATTGTTTAATTCCATTTTTGTTGTTTTTGCTCGCTTGCAGCTAACCCGGGTTTTGCTCCTTTTTGCAGGCAACATGGCTAAACGACGAGAGAGATTATTGAAGCTAACCCAAGATAAGAAGATAAACAAGAGGCTGGTGAGGGCACCGCAAGCCACGAGGATGGGCCCACCGGCCAGTTCGGGCAGAGACGCCTTCAGTGGGTCCTCGGGCTCTCCCGATGTCGAGCAACCCACCGAGCTGAATACCAGGAAGAGAAGTCGGGCTGAAAACAGGTCGGAGGTTGGCGATGAGTCCGTAGCTGCGCGGGCCTTCGGGTTACCGCCCTGTTTTGCAGAGAAGGATTTCTTCGAGGGGTTTTCTCTAAAGGTGAGCACTAACGAGGCCGAGACTATCAGAAGACTTGACAAAGAAAGCCGGAGGAAACACCTCGCCGCTAGCATGGTCAGGATGGTGAAGATGGCCGAGATGGTTGTGGTCCTTGCTGAGGAAGGGTCGGACTCCTCGGACCGTGTTAGGGAGTTAGAATCAGAGAAAGCTGCCTTTACTGCCAAATCTTGTAAGTTAAAGGCGGCTCTCGAGCGGTCTGAGGAAATGTTTCACGAGCAAGCCGACCTTCTGGCGGGGGAGAAGGAAAAGTCTGTGAAGGTTGCTGAGGAGAGGGATTGCCTCCAACTAGACAAGGGACGTTTGGAGAGTGACAACGAACGTTTATCCAAGGAAGTCGAGGAGCTAAAAGTTGTTATGCTTCCTGTTGACGACGAGTCGGAGGAGACAGCCTCTTTGCGGACCCGTTCATATTTGGTTGCACGTATCCACCTTATTGAGACAGACTGTGTCGGTGCCCTAGCCGATGGGTTCGAGGCCGCGGTCAGCCAGCTCTCCATCCTGAACCCGGGCATGAACACCGAGGGAGTCGGGTTCATGCCTCAGATTATTGATGGTCAGGTCGTGCCTCCTCCTGAGTCTCCTGGGGTAGATGCCGGTAGTCCTGGGGATGTTTAGCTTAAAGTTTTTGTTTGGGCCTGTGTGCCCGCGTATTTGTTTTGGGGCCTGCGTGCCCGTTCTCATTTTTGGGGCCTGCGTGCCCGTGCTAATTTCTTGATTTCCTTTGGCCGTTGTTCCATGTCTTGTAACCTCGAACATCGCCGGCCTTCTTGGTCGGTTCATCATTAACTTGTCTTGTTCATAAACTTTTTTAATGGATGTTTATTTTGCCTTAACTTGCTCGTGTCTAGGATAATGTTCGACTGCTATTTTGTGATGAATATTGTTTAAGTTATGTCCTCGAGCGGAGATATCCTTTCGACCCTTTTGATGGTGCGACGTACTTCGAAATGCGTCGGTCGTGCGGAGCAGAGCCTGCATGTCGAGCGTATGACCTAGATCAAGGTCATATGCCCGCGGCGTGAACTGCCCTTCGCGAGCTGGGTGTTCTGCCATGTGGGTACTTCAACAGTGGAGCTCGATCGAGGTATCCCTGTCGGGCATTATTGTTTGACTTGTTGGCTGAACGACGTTGTGTCTTTTGGATGTAGGTTGGGTCCGTACCTCGACCCGTCTACGTGGTTGAGACATTTCCCTTTGTTGACTAAAGGTGGATGTTCGACAATGAAAGTCCATAATGGTTGAGGACTTTAGCTATAATACTGTTTTAGCTTAGCAGTGTTCCAGGGTCATGGTAACGGTTCTCCGTTTAGTA